TGCCATAGCAAAAGCAATAGAAAAAGACTGCCCTGAGTAGCAGCTGAATGAAAAAGAGGAATGCATTCAGAATGTCTCCACAGAGATCATACCCTTAGCAAAGTCATGCAGATTATTGCCTTAACAAACTGATTATCGATTTGGGGGGAGGGGAAGGCATGAGAATACAATCTGCAAGAACAGATATTGCTCAGGGTTTAAATGAAGGCATGAGCATAGACAACCCTGCTGGGGAACTGCACTTTGAAACAGAAATACTTTCTTTCTTTCTTCTTTATTGCATTCTGCTTGCTTTCCTCAGTAGAAAAATGCATTAGGACTGCATTTTATATTATCTAGTCTCAATCCTTTAGAGGTGCTCAGTGTATATGCTGTAATTTTTCATTTAAAAAAAGAAAGGAAAATAAAAGCCTTTACCATTTGGCTTTGTAAATAAATAACGTTTTCACACCGTTCCCCACACTGGATAAAGCCGATTCCCACAGCAAAAGCTGTGCATTTGAAAGGCAGCCATTATACGTTGTGCGCATGAGTGGTTGCATCAGTTGTTTATCACTTTTAAAAAGTTACTGTGGGATACAATAAAACAAGGGCATAAAAAAAGGTTGGTTAATTTTATGACCAGTATTAGCATTTGCAGTTATGCATACTAAAAATAAGGGCAGTGAAGCCTCATGCTTCAGGGCATAAATGGCTGAGGTCAAGAAAGAATATGTCCCTCTGTGCATAGTTGACTAGGTGTTTTATAGAGGTCTTAAGCGTTCCAAAAAGCAACAGCTGGAGGAAAGGGCCAGAGGCAATGTAAAGACTGGTAAGGTAATGCATCATAAGGAAGATGTGGTTAATGTGCTTTCCCTTTTTAAGAGAGAAATGTGGGTCCCTCCCAGATGCAAGGAGTGAGCTCTTTAGCTTTGAGAGAAGCTGGATTGCCTTAGGGAAGCGGGCCTCAAAAATGCAAGCTGGTCTGTAGTGTCTTCTCCAAATAGGGTAAAGATCCATCAAGGCCCACTGCTTTGGGCCCCTGTCCAAAGACTAGGGGCTGTAGCCTAGAGCACTCTGTATTTTGGTGACCTCAGAGTCCTGGCATTTTTGTGCTTAGGATACCAGGAATTGCATGTGTATTATCTAAGAGTAAGCAGCTTGTTTGCCTCTCAGACTATGAAAAGCTTGACCCCTGGTTCTCCTTAGCCTGGACTGCAAGGGAGCAGTTTATATCCGACTCCAAATAGGAAACAGCTTACTGCAGCGGCCACTGTTCTGCTTGGAGCTCTTTCAAAAGGGGAACATTTGAAAAGGGCAACGGCTGTTGCAGTCTGCTTGTTGCGTATGGACAAGCTGAGAAGGATTCACATTTAGCAAACCCGCTCCACCTTTTAACCCTGGATGAAGGAGAGTGAAAGCTGAAGTGGTTTTGAATCCTTCTCAGCTTGTCCACACATAACAATTCGAACAGACCAGCTGTTGCCCCTTTGGGCTCCAAGCAGTCTGTGTCTCTACACCCAGGGGGTCTGTAATGCTGCTTTGCTCAGGCTTTGATATAGTCAAGACAGAGTTGATAAGAGCCTTATTTGTTGGGATAGTCACAATCAGAGTTGATAGAATGGGGCAAAGGTTTCATGTGGCAGGATAACAGATGTTATCTAGCTATGTAATAAAATAATACTTAAAAAAAAAAAAAAGAGAATTGCTTGCTGAGCCAAATGATACATATCAGAAGTGGTTGAAGGCCAAATCTTTAGCCTTCCAGTTGATTTGAAGAAGCATAAGAAATATTTCACTTCTGATGTAGAGCTCATCACTTAGGTGTCAAAAGAGATGAATGAGCAATTCAGATGATTGGTTGGTCTAAATTTTGTTAGGATAAAATGCTCATCATTCTCTTGTCAGTATGTTTCAAAAAGCTGAGCCGCAGACTCATCACTAATGATTAAACATTTATATATGGTTTTCTTATATTGCCTTCGTTTTTCCCTAGTCTAGCACTTTTTGAGGGACATTTCATTATGTGACAAGGGGGGTGGGGGGAAGGGAAACAGTTGAGATACATTAAAGTACAAGTTCCAAAATAAGAATGGAAATAAAAGTTTGCCTCATCGGTTGCCTCGGTGTTTTTGGTGGTGCCATCCTCTTTTATCAAGGCACTTTATGACCTTACACCCAAAAAAGTCTTTCCCTGCTTAGCAGAGATTTGAGTGTACAGTGTAGTGAAGCCACATACTACTAAAATTCTTATTTTCATGGATTATTTACTTTAAATGTACTAAAATGGTAAGAAATATTATCATAATACTACCACATGCTTATCAGTTGGGGCGTTTACATCTGTGCCATGCAGTACAGTTGTTACTGCATAGTCATTTAATACTTGCTTAAGCAAGTACTAAATGTGTAGTAACCGATGTTACTGTGCAGTCCCACCGCTGCGTGGCCATTTTTTAGGAGCTACTGCACAGTAGCATCGGCATCGTGGTTCATGCCTGGCCACGCTACATCACTGTAGCAATGAGCTACGTAACTACAGCATCTCGTGTAAACATGCCTGGTATAAATGAAGCAGAGAATTTTGGGTTAATTTGTTGTTGCTTGTTTTCTTGTCAATATATGACATTCAGTCATTTTCTATGGCTTTTTTTTATTAGTGCTAGTTAGTGAGTTCCTAGTGTATTCTTTTCTATGAAAGTATGCCATGCATTAGATATTTCTGACTTTGAGCAATTATGTCTAGTGATATTTTAGTTATAAGGGATGTTTTAATCACAAATAGCTATATATTTTGGGGTTGGCTGTTGCTGTGGTCTAATTCAAAAGCATTTGTTTAAAATTTTTCATTGGGATAAGTGAAAATGAATTTTATGAAGTTATGCTTATGCCTGATACTCACTGTTTCACCCCACAAGGCAACTATTTTAATGTAGCTCAATTAGGTATATTTTACAACCTTGGATCAAGGCTACTCAAGAACTGGTATTTCAGGGACACAATATCAAGAATTTCTCTTTCATTATGGGAAAGGTAAGCTTGCATATAGCACAGCTTCCCTATGCCAGGTTACTGGTATTAGTTCTTCACTATTATTAAATCCTTTCATAAAAAGGGGAAAATAGACCAAATGCTAAATATTTGAAGTGGATTTTTTTTCTCTAAATATATTTAACTGCTCTCCTCTTAGCATGCTAAAAGCCTTTGGTCTGTTTTGAATCCTCTAACGATAGTATGTGTTTACAATTGCACAAACATTTGTTATGTTTTGGACTCATGAAGAATATAAATTGTTCAAATGATACATCTTGCATTTAACAGCTACTCCAAAAGTTTTGACTATAATAGCTGCAGTCTTAACATTAAAACACTGTAAATGGGATTAAAATTACTTTTCTCTGGGCTCATCTATGCATGCATTTGATCTTGCAAGTAAGTGCTCCTGAGCAGGTGTATAGACGTGCAGTGAAATGGGAGCATATTTACTGCGAATGGCAGCAAACTGCTCCCACTTCCTGGAGCCTTGCAATGGCCCCTGCCAGCACCCAGGGGGAGCTCTAGGCAGGGAGTCCTGGGCTGAGAGACAGCTGTCTCCTGCCTGGGGCTGGGACATTACACCCTGCCCCTGGGGAACCTGCTGCCGGGGCAGGGACAATTTTCTCATGCCCTACCAACAGGGAGATCCTGGCCCTGGTTCCCCAATCAGTGGCAGGGGACTTGGAAAGAGCTGCAGGGGAGGGACAGGTCCCAGCCCTCTTCCCCAATCCAGTGGTAGGGCAGCTAGAAGCTAGCTCACTACTTCACTGCTCTACAAAGACAGCCTTCTGTTTTAGCTATCACCTCAGCAAGAAGTGGGATGTGATCTGGGTGGCAATAGTGTACTTTCCAAGTACTTTTCTACTTGGACCATCTTTGAAGAGTCATTCCAACTTCCTATGTAAGGTTGTCACAAAACTTTTATCTCAGCCATGGATCAACCTGCTGATATTTCTCTTTTTTTCATAGATTCATAGACAGTAGGGCTGAAAGGGACCTCGGAAGATCATTGAGTTCAGCCCCCTGCGTCAGGGGCAGGAAGTCAGTAGGGATCATAGGATTCCAGCAAGATAAATATCCAAACGTCTCTTGAAGGCATTCATGGTAGGCGCTTGAACCACCTCCGGCGGTAGTCTATTCCAAACCTTGGGGGCTCAGACAGTAAAGAAGGTCTTCCTTATGTCCAGCCTGAAATGGTCATGGAGGAGTTTGTGACCATTCATCCTTGTCATCC